CAAGGACAGTGCGCTAAAAAATGGGCGATACAGAAAGGGATTTAACATGTTTGCTGTACCGCAAAACGGTTAGTCGTTGCCTGTATTCCGTTGGGTGAAAAGTGAGCGGTCAGCATGGCTGGGAGTGATGATATTAACAAGCGTGAAAAGATTGCGAGAGAGATTAAAAAAACGAGTGAATCAATTCGCAAGAAATATCGCGCTTTGAAGACCAGTAGCATCGAGGATGATATTGCTGTGAAGACTCATTTTAAGCCAATCATTGAGCCGGTGAAAAAAATCGTTGACAACTCCAGCGGGGTGCGCGCGATTAAAGACGAGCCGATCGACGACATAGAGATTGAAACGTTGTACGGTCGTAAGCGTGAAAAGGATGCGATACTGAAAAATGTAAAGAAGCGTCGAGTCTCACCAGTTCACTCGCCGATCGAGTCAAAACAGTATAAATCATACGATGCATCGAGTACACTGGGAGCACCGTTGATAACATCCACACCGCGCGCCATACATCCAGCAACGGCGGAGGCGGTGGCCACACAGATCGACGAACCTTTTGAATCCGAAGATGTTTTCCAAACCACGGAGGATTCGCTCCCGACAGCCGTTCAACGCGAGATACAAACGCGACAGGGTCAAGCAGCGTTGCAGACGCACCTGGGTCCGCTGAGCCAAAAATATATTGAGGCAGTTCTACGCGGACCGCATACCAAAAGGTGCGGTACATACAGTGATATAGATTTTACGTATGGCGTTCATCTCGACAATGATGGAATGAGGCTCGGTAGTAAACGGTTCGACGAGCGATGATAATATAATTCTCGATGGCGTGCGATACAAAGGCATACGGTCTTTACGAGCTGATTTTCAAGAGACTTCCCGACGATGAGAAGTACACGATGGAGGATCTACAAAAGTACAAGAGTATACTTCTGGCAACAAATATGTACAAGCGCAATTACAACGTGAAAGGTCAAAAACTTGGTACTAAGGGGTACAAGTACAACCATATAATCACACCGTTAGTGTCGGACGAAGGAATAAAGACCCGGTCCAAGACGAAATCTGGAAAAGGATTACCTCGCGCTATGACGCTAAACAACAATGCGAGTGATTACGTGCACTGGGATGATCCCAATGAACTTGTGGACAGCTTACGATTGCTCGACGCTTCGCGCCGAGACGGTCACAACGCGCATGACAACGAGATGCTGTCCATTATCGAGGAACTTCGTGAGGCCGGTTTTATTGTAAATTAACTCGAGTATCGGCGAATCGGAAACATGTCTGTATTTTGGAAAACGGGTCTGGAAACGGGTCTGTATTTCGAAAACGGGTCTGTATGTCGGAAAACAGGTCTGTGTTTCAGTAACGGGTGTGTATTTCGGAAAACGGGTCTGTATTTCGGAAACGGGTCTGTAAACGGGTCTGTATTTCGAAAACGGGTCTGTAAACGGGTCTGGAAACGGGTCTGTATTTCGAAAACGGGTCTGTATGTCGGAAA